GACCCGGATTCGGTAGTACAATTCCGAATCGAATCTTAGACCCGACTTTTGTATTTCGGTTCGGGTACGGGTCCAATATCTGGACTTTGCGGAACACTAGTTCTCGTAACCCGGCCGGGTCAAAATTTGAAAATTTTTACAAAATTTTTTTATGTTTTAATAACCGGGTGAGTTTTTAAAAAAATTTTAAGAAAATTTTACAAATTTTTATATATAAAATTAAAAAAAAAAAGCCGGCCGGCCGGGTCTATTTAAAAAGTTCCATGTTACGAGAACCAATAAATTAAATTTGTGTGGCCTAAATAGAAAAATTTTAAACAAAATTTTCACAACAGATAGTCCGTATAGTTGCCTTCAAAAGTTCGTAATTTTTTTTTAAATCCAGATAAGCGGGATAAAACATTTAGATAAATTAGAAAAAAGGATGTTTATTCACAATGCAATAACATGTTAAATTTTGCTTATTTTCAGTGTAATAGCAGATTTTTAGAGGTTACGTATTCAACCGTTTTTGACATGAGTTGTAAATTTTTGACGTTATGACATAGGTGACTCGGTTTACAAAAACTCGGTTCTAAACTCTACCGTGGCCCGAGCTAAGCCAACTATTTGCATCTCTAGACGAGGACTCGTCATCAGGTATGATCAACTCCCTAACATGCCAATCCTCATAGCTCCCGTCAGGAAGGAATCTTCGTACCATTAAGGGAATCTTCTTTTGGCGAAGTTCCTTCTTTGCAATTTCAAGAGGATCGGTTTCATTATCACGATCAACAAGGATTGGTGCATTCATACTTTTAGAAAATTTCAATTAATATCCTACATTCGGACAAATTCATTAATAAAAAAAGAAACCCACCTGATCTGCAAAGCTCTAGTACCTAAGATTCTAGCCTTTTCGTATTTTGTCATATATGGAGTTGTGACTCTCTCTTTTTCTTGAACAACCTTTTCTGCCTTATCAATATCCATACCAACACCACCCACACCGTTCGAGATGATCCCAACGCCACCTTGCATGTCTACTATATTCACATCTCTTTGATCTTCAGCACCATACCCGCTTGGAAGATCCGGTTCAAGTTCATCTTCAACGAGATCTTGCTCTTGATATTCGTCCTTATATATAAAGGTTATAAATCCAGAACGTTATACTTTGTGTTGGCGTTTGGACCAGTGTTGGAAATTATATTTTCAGTGTTCACAGTGAACAAAAGTTTTTTCTTTATGTTTACATTTGTAAACATAAATAATTTTTTATCTAATATATAAAACTTTTATTTGTGAGCATTATTCCTTCAAGGTGAACATAGTAAAGGCAAAACTATGTTCACAAATCATTTTTTTTTTTTGAATTTCCAACACTAGCTTGGGCATACTAAATTATGCCATTTGAACAATAACAAAATTTTGTGTTCAATTCAAATCAAAACAATTGGCATGTAAAAGCGTTCAACACTGTTATACTGATCATAAGTGCTTCGTAAAAGTACTTACTAGATCAGATTCGTGTCTGTTGACAGATATTTCGAGTCGGGGAATCAATTAACTGGTAGTAGAAACTGATATAAAGAAATAACATTGTATAAACTACACGAAAACCAACCCCCCAATGTCATCATTATCATAGCCGTACTCATCGTCAGACATTGTTTTGCTAAATTTATATTATCTACTTAGAAAGATTTATTCAAAAAAAAAGTGAAAGCATGAATGTATCATTAAATATGAGGTTATATATGAGGTTATATATCACGTGTTAGCAACAATCACATGCTTATTAGATGATTTTTTGACTTTTTTCAGTTATATATGTTGTTATGTACCGATACAAGACGCGCGTCGCGTTACTAACGAGTTTTAAATCACGTGAAAGTTTAAGCAAACATCATCGTTTACCGAATAAAAAGATTCTCAAATTTTTGCTACAACAGACAAATATATTAGATATGCAAATGAGAATAACAATGGTGTTTCATGTTAAACAAAATCGTCTAGTCACGTTTTGAATCGAAATAATTAATACTAGATCTGATAACAACGCAAAAAAAAAAAAAAAACGGTCACGAAAAAAATTTGAATTTGACAAATTCCTTATTAAGGGAAAAATACAAATTAAACTCGTCGTTTCTTATTTTGTATCGATTTATCATCTTCTTCAGCTACTCCTCTTTTGTAAGTTTGATTTGATTCCGATGCGTCCTCAGCTTCGTCATCTAGGTCAACTTCCTCTTCATAATCTTTTCGTCTTGAGGTTGATGCTGATGATGATGAGCCAACTGCACTAGTGGAAGGACGCTGAGATGGGTCTATTTCCTCATCAGCTTCTGATATATCATCGTCTTCAATTTCGTCTTCATCAAATTCTTCATCTTCTTGTTCGTTAGATGGATGATAATCTTCCTCTTCGGTGTCTTCGGGAAGATCCTATAAATTTACATGAGATTCGTCTTATTAGAAATTGTCTAGAATTATAAAATAGACAGTTTTACTTACATGAGCAAGTATTTTGAATAATTCATAGTAAAGAGGAACAACCATTGATAATGTTGGATATTCTGAAGATGACATAGTAGTTGTTGCCTCTTTAAATGGTTGTAATATTTCAGCAAACTGCTTTAATTTACTCCATTCTGATCTAGTAAGAACTTTTTCGTGCAAATTCTTCTTACCAAGAATGACAATATTTACTATAGATTGTAATTTTAATGCTTGATCAACTATATCAAAGATTGTATTCTATCTAGTAACAACATCAAGAATAGGTTTTAGCACACTTATATTATGTGCTTGACATGTTACTTTAAAT